CCAGGGGGCATCGTTTTCGCTCCCCCCCAGCGCCCCCCCAACCCCCACCCGCCCCACTCATCCCAGTCAAACAACACTAGGGGCACACAGCCGTCCATCAAGACAAATCATGTTGCGAGAACCCCTTGCAATACAAAAAACGCACGCGCGCGTCGTCGCACACGCATGCCGGAACCCTTTCCAACACTGTCGTGTTCGTCACGGTTTCAAGGCCGAGGCGAGTTGTAAACATTCGTTTCAAACCAGCTGCGCGCGCCCTTGCCAATGCTTATGAAAACCGTGTGGTGTTTTGAAATTATTGCTCGCGTCAGTCCACCAGGGCCTCTCGCGCGCGCGCATGTCGAAATCCTTCGAACGCCCTTGAGCACTTGCTGGGGGAGGTCACGATCCCTGTCTAATAACACGATGCGGGCCATTCGCGCCCGTCGGCAGCGCGCGCATGTCGGACTCCTTCCAAAACCTTCATCATCGACACGTGGACACCATCATCGTTGGCGGCATGACCAGCATCGGCGTCGTTATTGCCCGTGCCGTCGTCGTCGTCACCATCGTCACCACCATCGGTACTATCATGATCGTTGCCGCTGTTGTGGGCGTCATCCTGATACCGCGCTCGCCCGAACCACCGGCCCGCATTGACGCGCCCGCGCGCCAGCGCGGCCTTCGACACGCCCTGCAAGTTCCCATCGGTAAGCGCCACCGCGGCCGCGTCGGTCGCGCCAAACTAGCTGGCCGCTGCGCGCGCGCGTGCATGCGTGGGCTGGCGCGGCCACAGGGATGCACCAGTCAACACCAAGCAGCCATCGCACTCGCCGCCGCGTGGGATTTGCAAACCAAGTTGCAGGTGGGAGGGTGGGATGCCTGCGCGAGCAGTGGAGTTGACAACCCCAGAGTCGGCTCAACACAGCACCACACGGATGGCACCGCACAGCATGCAAGAGCACGCTGCTTGGGGCCCACGCTGGCTAAGACACGCCCGCGCCTTTGTCAGGGAGCGGGGGGGGGGCTGTCCCCGCACGATGGCCGCGACGGGGCTCTCGCATGCTGTTGCCCTGGACTGGCAGATCTGCGAGCTGCGCGCGGGCACCCCGCACGGCGCGCGAAGACCCCTCCACGGCCCGAGCGCGCCGCCTCGTCCCCCATCCCACCCCGCGGCCGCCTTCACCTGCTCTGCCCACTCTCTCTTGTGTGTAGATTCGCCTCTCCGCGTCCTCCTCCTCCTCCTCCTCCTCCTCCTGCTCCTCCTCCTCCTCCTCTTCCTTCTTTTCGTCCCCCCTCCTCATCATCATCCTCTGTTAGTCCTCCTCCTCTGTTCCTCCTCCTCCTCCTCCTCCTCCTCCTCTATTCCTCCTGCTCCTCCTCCTCCTCCTCCTCCTCCTCATCCTCGTCCTCCTCCTCCTCCTCCTCTTCCTTCTTGTCGTCCCTCCTCCTCATCATCATCCTCTGTTCTTCCTCCTCCTCTGTTCCTCATCCTCCTACTCTGTTCCTCTCCTCCCCTCTCCTCCTCAAACCTCCGCCCTCTTCCTCGTCTCTCCTCCTCCTCATCTCCTACTCATCCTCCTCCTCCTCTCTTCCTCTCCTCAGCCCCTCCTCCTCATGATCCTTCCTCTCCTCCTACTCCTCCTCATCATATCATCATTCTATCGGATCAACATCAGCAGCAGCATCATATCATCATCATCATCATCATCATATATCATCATCATCATCATCCCTTCATCATCAATCCCTCATATCATCATCATCTCATCCATCTATACTCATCATCATATCATCATCGTGAGCATAGCATCATCATCATCATCATCAAGCATCATCATCATCATCCTCATCATCATCATCAGCATCATCATCATCATCATCATCATCATCAGATCATCATCATCATCATCATCATCATCACATCTTCATCATTCTTCATATCATTCATCATCATTAGCATCGTCATCGATCATCAAACATCATCATCATCAGCATCATCATCAGCATCATCAGCAGCAGCAGGAACCTCATCGTCATCACCGTCATCATTATCATCATCATCATCATCATCGACAGCAACAACATCATCATCATCATCATCGCCATCATCAGCATCATCATCAGCAGCAACATCATCATCATCATCATCATCATCATCATCATCATCATCGTAATCATCATCATCATCATCATCAGCATCATCATCATCATTATCATTATGACCCCCATCCTCATCATCATCAGCATCATCAGCATCTTCATCATCACCGTCATCATCAGCAGCATCAACATCATCGTCATCATCATCATCATCGTCATCATCAGCATCATCATCATCATCATCATCAGCATCATCATCATCAGCAGCATCATCATAATCATCAGCATCATCGTCATCATCATAATCATCATCATCGTCATCAGCATCATCATCGTCATCGTCATCATCATCAGCAGCATCATCATCGTCATCAGCAGCAGCATCATCATCATCACCATCATCCCCTTCCTCCTTATCCTCCCCCTCTTCCCCTCCCCTTCCTCCTCCTCCTCCTCCTCCTCTTCCTCCTCCCCTCCCATCCGTCCCCATTCTCCCTCCTGCGCTGCCCTCCTCCCGCTTCGGAGCCGACCGCGCCGCGCGATCGCTGGCGCCACGACAAAAGAAGTGAGAATCTCGGCCTCGCCTCCGCCTCGTGCGAACTGCGAGTGAGAGTGATGAGGACGATGGTGCAAATGAAAGTAGGGGGCTGAGGATGACAACGACAAGGACAATGGGGAAGACCAGGGTGAGGGTACGAGCGAGGGTGAACGCGAGGGGCAGGGCGGTGATGACAGCGACCCCAGCGACGACGATGAGAGCACACAAGAGAACATTTGTCAAACCCTGCGGCATCAGGCGCGGGACCTGCTCTATGGGATGCCACGTGCATCAGAAATGTCAGCAGAGACCCCACGGTTGCCATGCGATGGACCCAAATCGCCCTGAAGCCTGCATTCCCCTCTCATCAAACCCTCCCGTTTCCTCTTCTTCCCCCCCCTGTAGTGGGGCACGATGAGCGCGATCCGCGCGTCAAAAGAACTATTACCCGCGCGTTGGAAGTGTCCACTCGTCGCGTAGTTTACAATAAAACACTCGTTGTCGACACGGCGGCTGTGCTCCCCTCGGCGCGAAACGACTTGAAAGCCTGGGCGAGAGGCAAGGTGACGCGCCGCGCCGCGCGGCAGAGCACATCCGAAGGACCCGCCTCGCGAAGCCACCCCAGTGCGTACTGCGGAGAGCGCGGTCCAGCCTGTTGCTTCGCTACGGTCGGGAATTTTTGCTTAGCGTGCCGCCGCGGCGGGCCCGGCGACACGCCGTGACTTGCGAGCTGACAGCGTCGCTCCGTTTCGCGGGGTGGGCGGCTGGGAAAGGCTCCGGAAGGTGACGCTTGGGAACGGGGGGGTGGATAGCGTGTCGCGCAGAACCGTGGTGGGCGAGAACCGGCGCAGCGACACGCCAAGCCACAGCTTCTGACCGTACACCTGAGCTCACGCCACCTCCTGCAAGCCTGCCAGGGATAGCACGACAGACTCTAAGCCGCTGCCACGAGCCCACATAAACAGATGCCACCATCCGCAGTGAGGGCAAGCGTAGCGGTCCGAATCGAGCCTGTCACCCGAAGTCGAGCTGCAAAAGCCTGGAAAAATAAAAAAACGAATCAAATGTTGTGCTAGGTGACACTTTAAACAATTCGCTTTATTCTTAAAGCTTCTGCCACGAGGCACTGCTTTCGGGCGCCTTCATTCCTGCGGTGATCCTCCTTCCCTGACACTGTCTCCTCAAAGTTGCCCTCCTCGTCCCTCGGTGGCAGTGCTAAGAAGCCCAAATGTGTCCCAGTACCACCAGCCTGGGTGCACGCGCCATAATCGGCAGCAAGGCGATACAAAAGGTTCGCGGGCTGGCTAATCTGCACGCGGCCAGTTGCATCATGAGTTCCCTGTCCAGGCTTAGGTCAATGGTGCGCTTACATGCGCAACACTGAACGACAAGGGATCTCAGCCTCTTCCCGCAGTCCCCCTGCGTCGCGAAGGGTTCGCGGCCTAGGAAATTCGGCACGTGGCCGGTTGCACCATGACCTCCCTGTCCAGACTTAGGGCTGCGGTGCGATGTCATACGCAGCACCGACTGCAACAGGACCCAATCCTCATCCCGCAGCCCCAGAAAGGCAAACATCAATATGCCGTCTCAGGAATTCCACAGGTATTGAAGAAAGCTAGCTGGGCATGCCCACATGAGGAATGATAACTCACACAGGCGCGAAAGATGCATGGACACGCATGAGCGCGCGTAATTCAAATAGCACGGCTTCCTGAGCAGCC